ACTAATACGTGCAAACGATCAGTCAGGCACTGCACTGCTTTTGTGAATGTAAGCTATCTAGCAACTGTTTTGGACAGTCAAGTATAACTAGATGCTTCAGGCAAAGATCACTGTAGACCATCATGTTCACGTCGAATATTGTCTTAATCATATTGGTCATGAACCAGATTCATCCCGTCTACGGCTAGATAAAACAAGTGAAGAATTAGTTGTGAATTTGATAAGAGAAGGTTTTACTTATGGACAAGTAAAGCAGAAGATTAGGGAGAAATTCCGAAAACCAGAAGGGATCACAGGGAAGGAAAATCGTCTATTCTTCGTGACAGTGGGAGACATAAGGTTTGGTTGGATGCATTGCCGGAATCTTCCATGCAGTGTTAGGTTGCCTTCTTTTCAGAGCTATCGCCAGGCGAAACAATCTCTACCCTGGACGACGTGATTTCAACGACTTAACCTCTCTTGAGAAGCGTATAAGTGACAAGAGCGTTAGCGACGGATTCCGTCATTACGCTCCTATTGTCGACGACACCGGCGATGGGTTCTGTTTAGGTACGCGACGGGGCTTGCATTTCGCTTGCATTTCACTACTCTTTTTCCAGTAATTATAAATGAGACGCAGCGCGAATGGTTGGCGGACTTCTCGCAGAGAGGGATTGGTATCGATGACACATTTAATGTGTCCATGTACAAACTTAGACTCGCTACGATTATCGTGGCTGATCACTGCGACCGAGCATTGCCAGCCGCTTTCATGCTGAGTTTCAGGTAGGCGATGAAAGAGCATGCTGCAGTAATAGTGAGTCGTGTTTCAGTTGATTAATGCAAGGGACGTTGGTAACATTAGTCTGTTTAGGAGCATAGAGGGCTCGTAGAAGGGCGATTTCGTCTTCAAAACCATCATATCAGTCACAGCAAAGCGATAAGCAACTACCTAAACTTGAAGCAGCTGATTACTGTCGTTGAGCCAGGCCTGTGGAAGATCCGCTCTCCAAATTCCAATAAGTTTTTCATGGTCGAGGAAGAGCGCTGTACATGTAAAAAGGTAATTAGCGAGAAAAGAGTACTACTAATTGCTAAATCAGAATCATTATGTGTAGGCCCTCAGTCATTGCCGTAAGCCCGGCTGCTCTGCTTGTCCTTATTCATTCTTTTGCGAATGCGACGATGACCGCAAGGCAGGATGCTGCGCTCAAACAGCCGTCCTCCAGTAGCTCACAGCCGTTTCACGTCACCAGCCAAAGCCGGCCTCGATGACAAAACAAGGAACTTGGATCAGAAAGTTGCAATGGTATCGGTAGCAGAAAAATTTAGCCTACTCACTATATTATAATATAGATATTTCATTGTTGTTGTAATATAGATATTCATTGTTACGTTACTGTTGTTGTTATCCTTCCAAGCGACTTGACGACAATGACTAAGCTTTCACAACCAAGGTGAGCAAGCCGAGCGTCTTGTGGAGTTATCTGTTCCATGCGAGCTCAGAAATGCGAAGACATCGGCCGTTCGTCCAGAGGTTTCGATGAGAGGACCTGCGCCAAAAGATGCGAAACCCATCCGAAAACAGATAGTTGGCTGATTGTTCAAGATTATTTCTTTGATAACTTTTTTCAGAAATCATGTATCAACCGAGAAAAGCGGAAGACGAAATTTGAAGCGCCTAAGGAGTTTTCGTCGGCAGAAGTGCGGGTCTGTGGGAGTTGTTTCCTGGAAAACCCGATTGATAATGTTGATGATGATATTTACTGGTTAAAATGCACTTTTTGCGATTGCTGGGGCCACCTCGGCAGTTGTGTTGCACTCAGTGCACAGTGCACTGTATGTAGTTCAGGGAAAATGGAGTACAGTGAGTGCTGACTTTTAGGAATTTCACATTTTCGTTTTTGTTATGCTTGATAGGTTGTCTAGATTTGTTACTACTGCTGTTGACTTGTGTTCACTCTTGCTTGGTGATTTTTGGTCTCATTTTTGTCAAGAATCCTCTGTCTTTCCTATAATTAGTGATAGCATAACGTCCACTTTCACTCACTGGTAATCGTAGATTCGCTCATCTATAGATACTGTATGCAATTGGCACCGATTGTTAGTAAATTGCGCTATTCCAATGCAAAATCACTCAATGTTAGATAACCGCTCCACAGAGATGAGAAAAGTTATTTTTATTTCGAGTTACATATTGTTTGTTGTTATTGTTTGTAGCTCTCTCCGGTCATACTCGAACGCCACAAACAATTTTCCAAACTACATAACTGAATAAAAACCGTTGTTAAAATCTCATCTTACGACATAAAAATCACCTCAAGTATTCGTGGCGTGTTACATCTCAAGTTACATAAATTCAGAATCATATTGGGTAAGATCTTCCAACACAGTCAAACCGTTCACACTTTAGGTAACGCAGTTTCAGATTCCATTCATAGTAAAAACCAAATCAACCCAAATCAACAATGCATGGTCCCATTCCGTTTTTGCCTTACTGAAGGTCAGTATCTTAAAGGACTTCGGTCATCATGCTCTAATGCCACGTCGCGCTCCAGTGACAAGTAGGGTTACGGTAACCCGTTCACACGGACTCCCAAATCTCTCTTGTCTGATTTTTCTTGTTTCATGGCCGTTGTAAAAGGGGGCGGGTCGTATTTGTTCGTTGTTGGGAGGGGGGGGGGGTGATATTTCCCTTCTGACCTTCTGAGGAATTGCCTGACTTTTCGTGTTTTTGCCTGTCTCATATGTGCTATACCCCCGCGCTCGACAGCTCGATGAAGAGGAACCAGGAGGGGGGGGGGAAAGACGCACCATCCCTCCCCCTTCAAAAAAACGCGGGGGTCGTAGGGGCTCGACCAAAATCCCCAACCAATGATGTGCCCTGAGGCAGGAAACGAAATTTTCCAAGGGGAGGGGACTCGACGACTTCAAAGGAATTGAGTTCAACTTGTAAGCAGACTATAGGCCAAGAACTTCAGAAGCACCATTTTTTATTTTTGGAACTTTATGTGAGTAGAGCTTCTGAAAAGGGAAAAACAAGGTTGTGAGGCCATAGATTGAGTTAGTTAACCGTGCTTAAACCACTCTGAACAGCTTCTTTTTGATGAAGTATCCCCATTGTGACGTCCTTGTTGCATTCTAGTGTCATCTGGGAGGAGTTTTCTTGGTCTGCGCAGCCATAACTTTTACATACGATCTCTCAAGAAACCAAAAACAGTGCTGAAATCCAGAAGATTCTCTCTTTCAGAGGGCTCCCCACTTTTTTTTCAACCGTGCGCGCTATTCTGAGAATTCCTCGCTGTGTTATTGTTATGAAGTTTCGGACGACCTCGGAAAGCCCACACCTCCAGCTCAGTACCATTTTCAGTTTGCTTGAAGACTTGAGCAAGCTTCTAGAAGAGAACGTCTTTTCGTCGAAGTCATCACCCACCATATACAGTTTTCT